ATATATATATTTATATACTAAAATCAGGAAAAGCAAATTTACTTATGCAACAAAAGGGTCATCGCATATTCGCTGATGTTCACAGTAATTTGGTGTTAGTCAAACTCCACTCTGCTATCGGGCACACATTATTGGTCACTTGACGTTCCTCCACCTACCTGGATGATATCCCCCAGAGCATTTCTCACAGTACCATCGTACTTCACCATGACGTCCTCCATAGCTTTCACCAGACGACGCTGGATGTAACCAGTTTCAGCTGTCTTCACAGCCGTATCAATCAGACCCTATGCGATATAGTATGTTTACTTAAAAGTTAGAAATTGAACACGTAGGGTTGAACGCTACAGCTCCATGAATGCAACCATACATCTCGCAAAGAAAGTGTCTTAGCTAGGAGTAGCACAATCGAGTTTTAGTAGTCAAGTGGTAGTACAGACCAGTGACCTTCCATCTGACGGCCACTTTAAATGCACTGCTACGCATCCGGACGGAAATAGCAGAAACAACCTCCGAATACAAAATTGGACACCTCCCGTCGTAGAACACAGCTTGTTATCGATAAATAAAATAAGTTTTCCACAAGTCCTCCACTCTACGTACACATCCATTCTGGAGATAGCAAACGTACTTTCCATAGCCTACAATCGATATAGCGAACAAAAACAGGCGATTTGGGCCGACATACTTCACGACCTCCCATTGCGTGGAAGTAGAACTCAGCTGGTGTCAAACCAGAAAGATACGAGTTCTCCACAAATCCTCTGCTCTCGGGTCCGTAGTCATCTTTCAGGAAATGCGGAAGCGAACGATACTGGAATCCGAACGGGATACGTTTTCCCTCTACATTTTGCTGCCCTACGCAGGCAATAACCTAGAGAAAGCGGCGATGGCAACGAAATCATGGACGTTAGCCTGTATTTGCAAAGGCCAAAGGTAGTCTCTGGCGAGCAGTAGAAACTGTGCTATGAACACAGCTGAAGCAGTGGTCAAGTGGCAAATTTATTTCTAGGCAAATCTTATAAATATACCGCTCAAGAATATAGTTGTATAAGGAAGGGTAAATAAACTCATAGAGAGCCTGCTATGGTAGATACGCAAGCACAGACACTGCAGGCCAACTATCGGCCAGCTTTATACCATGAACACTGAGATTCGACTGTAAAAACTCAAAGTTGATACTCAACGCATTTAATTTTGTCCCCTTATACACTATGATCTAGTACGATTCCCGGATCTTCACACCACACACCTGCGAGACATTGATCAGGGACCCCTTGGCCCCCGAGTCCACCATCGCTTTCATATTGTTGAACCGCGACAGATTCTCGTTAGTCAGCTGACCAGTATCTTCACGGGCCTTGTTCAGCGTCTGATTCACTTTGTTTTCAAACGTCTGTGGATGATGAGAAGCGTAGCAGCCGAATGAAGAGGAGATGAAGATGGGATTTGTAGTCTAGCGGTATATAATATAACAGATGTAAATAAAGGAAAGGTCCGAAAGGGGTTGACATGCATTCGGGTCGCACATTTCTCAAAGTTCTCGAACCACCATACCTCCCGCAGACTGTTACCGGGCGTGGGCTCCAACTGTTCCATCTGGGCTGTAAGGATGATATCAGACACCTCCTCTTTAGCCCGAGCAATTCTCGCTCGGATCATATCGTTGGTGGATTCGTCAGCCATCATATCGGAGATACTCATTGAGTGACCTGTAATCGGAAGGATAGTGTAGTGATGCGTCAAATCTTAATGCAACATACGAAACGGCAATACTAAACTGCCATTGGATGTGTTGAAAGCACACGAGCACTGACATCACGTCTGTCATTTGAATTGCGGTCCCCTCTAGGTTTGAATTGATGGGGGGGTTCTTCGTCCGAGGCTCACCATGCGGATCGGCGAAACCGAACCTGGACGAACAACAGTCGCTCAGAATCTATACGAGCTCTCATGTTTACATACACAGACAACACGCACCACATACGCCACAAATAACAAGATATACACGCGCAATTAAAAAGAGAATAGAGTACACCACACCGAACTGGTCGGTTCTGTACGTACCTTCAATCATCAGCCATTGATTGATACAATGTTGGATAGAGTCGAAGAAATGCCTAGTCTTCTCAGGCCCATGCTCCATGAACATGACGTGGATCAGACCTCCCCCACTGCTACCAATGGTTTTCTTACAGATCAGTCCGCTCATCAGGCGACCGTTGATAACCAGCACCTGACCAATTGCACGAGATCAGGACAAAGGGTTAAGAAGGTGTGGTTGGTAATACTGCAAAGAGCAGCAGTGCGTGGCTGCATACCTGGCTAAAAGCGCAGTCGAGTACAGAACATGATCTTAGAGGTCCTTGCCGTGATCAGGGCAAACACAGGCGAACAATACCGCATATTACAAACATTCGGAAAGCTTGTTATACCTTGCTGTCTGTGGGCGAGAAGTCTCTGTTTGTTTTGTGGTTCTTTTCCTCTGTAGGCTGATTCTTGTTGTTGATATAATTAGTTCCCGGGACGATTAAATAATTGAAAAGCTGTTTGCCTGTATTTCATTGAAGTGTGATAAAAACGAAGATAAATCTTAAAGAGTGAGTGCATTGTACATTTACTCGCGCAGACCTCGGGGGCGACCTAAAAGATTGTTCCATACGCGTTAGTATGCAAGCATTTAACGCGTGGCAATTTGAGAACAGCAACCCCCACACCATGAATGCGCAACATGTAGAATATTCCGGCTTGTTCATAGGATGTTATCTACATTTTTTAGGTAGGATCTACAACAAGTTGCTGTAGATGACCTATGCGTGTGTGTATACGTGCGTATGCCCGAAACCCAATTAATCATAAGACATAAAAACCACACTTTAACCGTGCCACAAAGAAGCTGACCAACCTATACTGAAACAGCACCCACCGACCTACAAAACATCATACCGGTCCATAACGGTTTGGGTTTCAAAATAGCGGGCTGGGGTACGACACCATCCCAATGCTGCAGGTACATGAGTAGATTCATCACATCGTCCATCTCAATAAAGCAGTCGGGTTTTGTGAACTTCCTCGCTGCGGTCAGTGTGTCCTGCACAATACCCATAACGGGTTTGTTGGCCTATCCGCAACAAAGTCAATCAACGGAATGTTAGTGCATGGGTCTGGGCTAGGATGAGCTGTCTCGCTGAGTATAAGTTAGTCCGCGTCGATACTCTGAAACAACAAATTATTGCTGCGGTATCCAAGTGGCGTACAATCCATATGGCAAGCAACCGTGTGGCCACCCGTTTGGTTCGCGGAGAGTTGTTATACATACTCAAACACACACACACACAAAAACAGCTAGATAGGACTACATAAAACCCTTAAACCCTAAAACCAACCACCTCCATGCTAGGTTTCCACTATACAATTTCCGAACCCATAGGAACTCAAAAGAATACGATACACTTACATCCCTCAAACCACACATGTTTTTTACAAGGCAAGTTAGGCTTCACTACATACAACTCCCGTAAACTCTCGTACTTAAAAGGAAAGAGAAAGAGAAAGTTACAATCCTATACCTGGGGTGTTACAATACACCGAGGCACCATCATTAGCTGATCGATCTCCGCTCGGGTCTCCACACTCTGCGCCAGATGCAAATTCATCTCATCTCCATCGAAATCGGCATTATAGGGCGATGTCACAGACAAATTCATACGGAACGTGGAGTACGGGAGGATTTTCACCTGTGAGAGTGAGTTTTCAGCTGTTGGGATGAGTTCCGCAAAAAAGAACATAGGTAAGATGATACAGTAGAAGACAACGAATCCGCTGTAGAGAATCAAACTAGATTCTGGATTCATAAATTACTACAACACGCCCGTTCTATTATAGCAACTAGCACTCGAGCCGTTTTCTCGCACCACTGAATTGCACAAGCCAGTCCGCCAAACCCCACATGGTAATGCTCGCCGTTTTAACAAACAGAGCACTCGGGAAACTGAATGATATAATGTGCGCCTGATGCGTACGTACCTTGTGACCCATCATACTCATTTTGTGCAGCGATGGCTGACGATTGAAGATGATGTAGTCTCCGTCCACCATATGTCGCTCGACTTTGTAGCCTGGTTCCAAATGCAGATCAGCGGAGGCCTGATTGTACCGCAGATCAATACGCGCACCATCCTAAAAACGCATTCACCGGTGATACAGTGATAAGATTATTGTTGAGTGTACGATACAACAGGATTGGGGTCTATTTGAGTTGATATATAACGACTACTCTCGTCCCTCAAACGCCAGCATGAGGCTACAGCCCAAGTGGCAGCACCCACCCGTGTATAGCAGTAAACAATAAAAAGGTATCTCGAAAACATTCAACCAGACTTCTCTCCCCGATCGTATCCGCTTCAGACAGAGCATACAAAGGTATCTCGAACATGATTGAATTAGGGTCCACTTACTGATCTCATCCGCTTTAAATAGAGCATACCTTTCGGATGATGTATTTGGCACCGGGGTGTTCGGTGGGGCCGTTGCTGATGAGCTGCTGCATCTGATCGATGTTGTATGGTGTCACAGTCTCCGGGTATGTCATATTCAGCGCAATAGACCTGGGTACACCGACCTGTATATCATACACGGATATCAACGGTATATTAAGCGGTGAGCACATAAGATAATCACTGCAAGCCTGAATGGAGTGACAAGCGTGCGCTATGCACGCAAACATACGTATATTGCGGCCCTGCACTTTACATCACTCCACAACAGGCTAATAGCACAAGTTGTCGTGAGCGCCACAGATCACCCGGATGATGCGTCGATTATTGTCATCTATTCCAATACAGGATGACCTTTACACACATCACAGCCATGTGAGTAAAACAACAGTCCGACGTGCATACCTGATTAATAGACAAATTAGGGTCGGCGGTAATAACCGTACGTGCACTAAAGTCGACACGTTTTCCCATGAGATTGCCTCTGATTCTGCCATCTTTGGCCTTCAGACGCTGACGAATGGATTTGAGTGGACGTCCGCTTTTCTGTTGGGCTACGGGCTGACCTGCATTATCAACGTCACGGTGAAAAAAACCCATCAGTGGATAGTCGATACTGTGCTCCATGTTGCATGTCGGCTAAGTTCACATAGTTATCGAATGCAGGGACTTACAATCATATTCAGCTTCACACACGTACGTGCATGGGCTTACGTACCCACAGATGCATGATGCGCAGCACAGGAGCATGCGAATAGACCGAGGAAGCACGATGCAAGTGTATTCCTAACTCAGAAGCGACTGTCGAATCGGATACCACGCAATATATTGGCGGTCATGGTCTCTACAGTGAAACTGAGCACACCTCGAGCGAACACACACACAAAGATTAACAATCCGAGATGAACGAACACCAATTAAAAAACAAATAGCTTGTCGGGGATTATACAATCAATACCAGTACATCTCGAGCAGCACATCTGCGAATTTCCTACTCATAGGGTAAACTATATCACATACCAGGCAATTCATTGTCCGTCATGGTTGCCACATGGAACTGCAGCAGATCAATGTATTCTGACAGTACGTGAGCGGGGGACCCCGCCAGTTCGTGCTTCTTCAACTCGATATTGCATTTAAGAATATCGACCAGTTTGTATCTGAGGTGTTCAAATGTTTTGGGATAGTGAGTTTTATATCGAAATATATATTTAAGTATCGAGGTTGATGATAGAGTCCAACTGAATAGTTGGAAGTGCCAACCCGGAAAAATTTGCCGTACCAGATGTTTTGTTCCAGCCCTGGCCGAAAGCGAGCACAAAATTTAGCGCAGCGATGTATAAGTGCGCCATTTAAAATTTAAATCTAGCTTGAGCACGTCTTACACATGAGCGAGTCGAGATGACTCGGTCACGCTGAACTACACTAATTCAAACCTGGTCCAAGTGAACCAAAAACCACCTATAGAAACATACGTCAAATCATCGGAACTTCTCGATGCTGAATCCATCATGATACTGGGGCGTACGGCCAGCGGAGACACGGGCAGGATGGTAGAAATCATCCAATCGGGCCGGCACCACTGAGGGTCGAAGCCCAGGATCCACGAGTCTTTGTCACTGATGCGCTTGAGAATCTGATGCGCCATCTCGGCCGTTATGAGCTGTGGTGTGTGTTGATAGATGGAAGGATACATTTGTAAGAACATGTAATAAGATGCAAGATAGAGACAACACCTTGATAGCTATTGGTAGAAAGAAGAAGAAAAATGGCATCCGGATCAACAAACTCTACGGAGTTATCACCACCTTAACTCATCGTAGTAATTGTTTTCATCTAGCTCGCAGCCCACATTCAGACTGCACTTGCTCACAACATGACTATCTGATATAACATGACAACATGACACGGCGAACCCTTCATTCTACGGTGTATGTGTAGCAAATGAAGTACATTCACCTTCTTCTTCTCGTTACTATCCTCATCAATCTCTTTCCACTCTGCAGTAATCTTGAATCCATCCCTGCGCCAGCTCACCGGCTGTGCACGCCCACACCCACCCTTCCCTCGGATAATTTCATGTTCTACATTATGATTGTCTGGGTCTACTGAGCCCATATTCACCTCTCCGAGTTCACAGATCTTCTTGCTGTGACATAGTTCGGCCACTCTTTTGAATCGCCGTTTAGGATTACCGATCATACGCGACTGCAGAAGACGCTCATCATCGTCTGTAGGACAGAATTTGAAGGCGTTTGTGAATATGAAGTCAAGGCTAAGTAAGAGTGCTTGAGTGTTGTGTCTGTGTGTGTGTGCATGTTTTTTTAATGAAGTTTAACCTCAAATGCTCCTGTGCTAGTGCTCGCGGTTCGATGTACAGACAATTAAAGACTCTCATCTGTAAATGAACATGCATGGATATGACCAATTTAAACATTAAAT